ATGTGCAGCTAAATCAATGCATTTTACTTAATATTAATTGTCATGTGACTAATTGCCTAAAGAGCCGCATGAAAATTGGCATCAAAGAAAACAGAAAAACAATGGATGAAATCATTTCAGAAATCATTCAAACTGATCTGTTTGTGTGTGTGTGTGTGTGTTTTTTGTGTGTTTTCACAGGTTCAGGAAGTGATTTCAGATTCCCATCCACAGTCATGTGGTGATACAGTCTCTCTCTCTCACACACACACACACTGTCCCTCACTCGCTCACACTCATCATGGCCCACCCATACGACCCTTGGTTGCGCGCGGGACCACCGCAGGAGGAGGTGAGCGTGTCTGGCTGGTGGGATGTGCACACTGGAGCAGCAGCAGGTTGGATGGACCTGCAGGGGGCGGGGCTGGGGGCGGGGCCAGCACCGAGCCGGTCCATGAGCTCCTACACAGCTGACCCACAGATGTGCTGCCTGCCGCCCTCCGGCTCCGCCCACTCTGGCCTGCACTACCCGCCCGAGGGCTTTAAGATGGAGCCGTTGACACAGGATCTGCTGCCGCTTCCGCAGGCCTCCCCTTCCTACTCCTCAGAGGAGCAACAGGACGCTGCGGGTGCTTCTGCTCGACCGAAATCACAGCGTCGCGCCGGGAGTCGCGCTCCCGGTCAGGCCTCCTGCCGGTGTCCCAACTGCCTTAGCGCCGAGTCTCTGGGAAGCGCCGGCGATGGTGGTAAACGCAAGCACCTGCACAACTGCCACATCCCCGGCTGTGGGAAAGCGTACGTGAAGACGTCGCACCTCAAAGCGCACCTGCGTTGGCACAGTGGCGACCGGCCCTTCGTCTGCAACTGGCTGTTCTGCGGCAAACGCTTCACGCGCTCGGATGAACTGCAGCGCCACCTGCAGACGCACACTGGCGCCAAACGCTTCGGCTGCAGCTCGTGCCCGCGGGTCTTCCTGCGTGCCGACCACCTGGCCAAACACATGCGTGTGCACGAGTCGCCATTCCAACCGGCTGAAGAGACTCACTCGGCGACGGCGGTGCCCGCAACAGGAAGTAGCGCTGCTGCGACATCACTGCTCAGAGTGAAGACGGAATCAGAGAACTGCGACGATGACACGACGGTAGCAAACAGCTAATCGCTCAACCACTCAAAGTCATGTGACCAATAAAACCAAACTTACGGATGTGCCGTTCATCATTCTGTAGGTGACTGATGTGAACTATAATCACATCTAAAAATAATCTGTAGAACGTGGCATTAGGATGAAACACATAACATAATGCTTTTATATCTTCAGTTTTATTTATATTTGTACATTGTATGTTTCATATTCTCTGTTGATTAACTTAATATGTTGTGTCCATATCCATGTATCCATATATTTTTGTCAATGTAATCTTCAGATTTTTAGTGAGGATATGTAGAGTTTGAATAAATATAGAGCATTTTGTTAATGTCTCATATTTGTCTTGTGATAGTGCCATAAAAACATCAGTCTAACAATATATAGACTCAGCGATATCTAATTCAATTGAATCATTTATATTAATTTGATTACTCAAATTGGTAAAAATATAATTACTTAAATTCTTTGTGATTAAAGAAAAAGACAGATGAAGTAAATAAGTAATATTTAAATAAGTAATATTTAATCAAGTTAATAGAATGAATATCATAAAACTGGGTTACTATAAATAAACCGCAAATTAAGTCACTAGAAACAAAATGTGAACCAGCTATACATGTTGCATATCATTGTACCAAATATACTGAAAACATGCTGAATCTCAAGAAAACATTATCATACAACTAGAGCAGAGCTTCCCACACTTCAGAGGCATAATCCCATAATATAAATACATTTCACAGTAACGAAACTAATTACAAGCAATAGGGCAACAAAAAAAATGCAACAGAACAAAGATACAAATGAAATAAAGAATATTATCTAACAGAAGAAATACTACAGAAACTGAACACACTAATGCAATGTATAATATTCACTGTATGAATTAAATACAGAATCATTGTTATTAAAGCCACAAAAGTTATTCAATAAAGAGCAGTGAGTGATTTTCTCCTTGTCTTTTGTTGTTTTATTAACATTAAGGACACAGACAGCAGCAGGTCTATTAGGCTGCTGTCACTTTAAGACCTAATGCACGGATCATACATATTGACACACATTAGGGGTGGGCGATATGACCAAAATCTTATATCACAATACGAGTAATTTTATTTCACAGTAACGATATATATCACAATATAGTTATTTTTTGCTTTAAATAAGGTCTTTAAGAAGTTTCATAATTCTTGTCAACAGTGTCAATATCACAGAAAACTAATACTAGAAAAAAAACTCATGCTCACTGAAGACAAGTAAACAGTCAGCGATTAAATAAGAATAAGAAACTAATTATAAGCAATAGGATTACAGTAGAACAAATAAATAAGAAAAGCTACATACATTGTAGGGCTGCACGATGGAGATTTACCGCTGATTACAGAACCGGCTTTACTGATAAGATGCGCGTTAAATATCGCATGCGATTTATCGTGCAGCCCTAATACATTGTATAATCAAATTAATAAAAACACTGCATATTCTTCACTGTGTAAATTAAATATATATTCCTCTTCTTATTAATGTTACAAAAGAGATTTTCTCTCTTTTGTTTTTTGATTAACATGAATGACAGACAGCAGTAATATTAGACTGCTGTCACTTTAAGAGCTGCCCGGATCCAATATACTGTTACAGCAGACAGCACACGCATATAGCCAAACGAGTTCTCTTTCGCTGCTGATTGCATTTCAACGACTTAAAATAACTTGTTTTGAAACCGCAATGCTTAAAAACTCGTGCAAATTATACGTTTTCGTGACCACGTAGCACAGTAACGTCACGTGAGTGAGTAACTGCGATAGAGACAATAGTCCAAAATCTCTTCCGGTTGACAAATTTCTACCAGTTAATCATGGCTGTATCCGAAAACTGAAAAATGCTGCCTTTGGAGGATGCATTCCAAGGTAGGAAGACATCAAGACAAGTCCGAATTCTATGTTAACTTCAGATCCTGTCTCCTGAGATGCCTTCATCTGTCCGATTTTTGAAGATGTATCCTTCGCTGCCTTTGATATCCCACAATCCTGTGTGTTCCATCCTGTGACATTTAAGCCAAAAAAATAAAGATGGTATCTGATAGTCGAGGTCGGTGATCAGTTTGTGTGTAAATGTATATTTCTGACTAACTTTTTGCACTTTTGATGTTAGTTCTAGCAAGAAATTAGTATTACAGTAATTAAATATTAATTTAGTTATCATCAAAACTCGTTCTATTTTGTTGTAGATCATTAAACCATTACGCTGAGTCAGAAGCCTGTCTGAAATCAGTTTCATGAGGTGCCTTCGTGCAAAAACGCTGCCTGAAAAGTCATCACCTGATAAGGCAGCGAGGCAGCAAGTCAGCTGCCTAGGCTTTCGGATGCAGCCCATTTCTACCAGTATATCGCCCACCACTAACACACATCCGTGTTTAGTTCACTTTAGACATAACTGACTGTGTTTACATAAATACTCGCCATTATGACATATTTTGTGTATTTGGCAGTTTAAGTGCAATTAGCCACAAATATATATATATATATATATATATATAGAGAGAGAGACACGAGGAGGAGAGACACGAGCTGCCTTCGGAGGACACATTCCAAGGTAGGAAGGCATCAAGGCATGTCCGAAACCAAAGCTTCACTTTCTGTATCATGAGATACCTTCATCTGATCAACTTTTGAAGGCAGCATAGATGTATCCTTTGCTGCCTTTGATATCCCACAATCCTGTGCGTTCCATTCCATGACGGTTGAGCTAAAAAATAGAGATGGCGTCTGAAAGTTGCGTTTGGTGGTCAGTTTGTGTGTAAATGTATATTTCTGACTAACTTTCTGCACTTTTGATGTTATTTCCATTGAGAAATCAGTATTATATTATATATTACATCATGTTATCATCAAAACTCGTTCTGTTTTGTTGTAGATCATTAAACCGCTACGCTGCCTCAGAGTCAGAAGCCTGTCCGAAATCAGTTTCATGAGGTGCCTTCGTGCAAAAACGCTGCCTGAAAAGTCATCACCTGATAAGGCAGCGAGGCAGCAAGTCAGCTGCCTAGGCTTTCGGATGCAGCCCATGTCTACCAGTATATCGCCCACCACTAACACACATCCGTGTTTAGTTCACTTTAGACATAACTGACTGTGTTTACATAAATACTCGCCATTATGACATATTTTGTGTATTTGGCAGTTTAAGTGCAATTAGCCACAAATATATATATATATATATATATATAGAGAGAGAGACACGAGGGGGAGA